TTCCTTTCTTGGGTTTGTTTTTTTTTTTTTTTTGTTACTGTAGAAGGAATCCCATGGTCTTGTGTATATTGTCCTTGTATCCTGCCACCCTACTAAATTGGTTTACTAGCTCTAACAGATTTTTTGTTGAGTACTTAAGGTTTCTGTGTACACAATCACATCATCTGCATATAGGGACAGTGTCACCATCTCTTTGCCAGTCTGGATGCCTTTTATTTCCTTCTCTTGTAATCATGCCCTAGCAGATACTTCAAATACAGTGTTTAATAGGAGTGATCACAGTGGACATCCTTGTCTGGTCCCTGTTCACAAAGAGAATGCTTTTAGTTTTTCTTTATTAAGAATGGAGAATTGAGAATGGCTCTTGGTTTTGCATATATATTTTCAGTATGTTGAAGAAGTTCTATTCTTGAGTGTTTTAATTAGGAAAGCGTGTTGGATTTTGCTAAAGGCCTTTTCTGCATCAATTGCTAGGATCATGTGGTTATTATGTTCTTTGTTAATGTGATGAATTACATTGATTGTTTTTCTTATGTTGAACCATCCTGTTATGAGTCCCACTTCATCATGTTAAATTATTGTTTTCATGTGCTGTTGGACTCTGTTGGCTAGGATTTTATTAAGGATGTTTGCATCTATATTCATGAGAGATATCGGTCTGTAGTTTCTATTTTTGGTAATATCTTTGCCTGGTTTTGGGATTAGGATAATGCTTGTTTCATAGAATGACTCTGGGAGAGTTCCTCCTTCTTCTTTGTTTTGAAATAATTTAAGTAGAAAGAGTGATAGATCTTCTCTGAATGTTTGGTAGAATTCAGCTGTGAAGCCATCTGACCAGGACATTTTTTTTTTAATTTTTTTTTTTGTAGAGGAGTCTCTTTCTAACCTGTTCATTTTTTTCTTTTGTGATGGGTCTGTTAAACTGTTCTACATATGTTTATGTCAGTCTGAGTAGGACATGAGTTTCAAATAATTTTTCCATTTCCTCTAGCTTTTCAAATTTATCAGAGTATAGCTTTTCGTATTATTCCAACATTATTTCATTTCATCTGGTTCTGTTGTGATGTCACCTCTGCTATTTCTTATTCAAGTAATCTATATCTTCTCTTTCCCCCCTTTTGTTAAGTTTGCCAGTGGTTTGTCAATTTTATTGACCCTTTCAAAAACCAGCTCCTGGTCTTATTGGCGGTTTCAGTTATGAAATGGTTTGTTTCTTTGTTTTAATTTTTTTGGGTCCCCACCCCCCTTGTGTACCATCAAATTGGATCCAACTGGCACAGGAGATTACTACCCTCCGTCTCCAGTAGAGCATCTAGTAGATTCAAATGAAATATTATTAATACGTTGGCTTAAATAAAATGGTATTACTGAGATTAATTAATCTTCCTTTTACTTCTTAACTGTACTTAAAAGAAAATTTTAAGTTACATGTGTAGCTCCCACTATTTCTTTTGTCCAGTGCTGCTGTAGGAACACTGTAACTAGATTTGGGATGCAAATCTAAAGGAAGAACACAATCTAGTATAATATAAATATTTTGAAGGTTAGTTATTCTAGAATGGATACACGT